AAGGTTGGGCAATCCTACTTCCGTAGTGATACTGCCTCGGAAACCCAAGGAGGGGTCGCTATGAGTCAGGGTTGACTCAACGGCACATAACAACAAACAACAACAACAGGATTGCTGGATCAAATGGTGTTTCTATTTCCAATGTTTTAAGGAATCACCATACCAATTTCCACAGTGGTTTTATCATTTTACAGTCCCATCAGCAGAGTATGAGAGTTCCAATCTCTCCACAACCTGCCAGTATCTGTCATTTCGTGTTGCTGAACTTTGCTATTAATGCTAGGGTGAGATGGTATATCACTGTTGTTCTGATTTGAATCTCTCAAATGGCTGACGATCACGAAAATTTCTTCATGTGTTTCTTGGCTGCCTGGATACGTTCTTTGTGAAGTATCTGTTCCTGTCTCCTGCCTATTGTTTAATTGGATTGTTTTATCTTTATAATATTGAGGTGTTGGAGTTTTCTATAAATTTTAGAGATAAGTCCTTTGTCAGATATGTCATTGTCAAATATTTTCCCCAATCTGTAGGTTCGCTTTTCATTTTTTTGAAGGAGTCTTTTGATGCACATTAAAAAGGAGCTCTGGGTGCAGTGGATAAGGCATTAGGCTATTAACCAGAAGGTCAGCAGTTCAAACTCACCAGCTGCTCCACAGAAGGAAGAAGGGGCAAACTGCTTCTGTAAAGATTCACAGACTCAGAAACCCAATGGAGGTCCCTGTAAGTTGGAATCAACCCATGGCAGTGAGTTTGGAGTTTGGTTTTGATGCACATAAGAATTTTTAGAAAGTATCAATCATCTAGTTTATCTTCTGCTGTTTCTGCATCTTGAGGTATGCTTGACAGTCTATTTATGCCACAAAGCAGGGCCCCTAAGTTTGCCCCTATTTTCATTGATGAACTTTATAGTTTCAGATTTTGCATTTAAGTCTTTGATCCATCTGGAGTTAGTTTTTGTGTATGGTGTGAGGTACGGATCTTGTTTCATTTTTCTGCAAATGGATATCCAGTTTTGCTAGCACCATTTTTTAAAGAGACTATCTCTTCCCCATTGATGGATTTCACCCCTTTGTCAAATTTCAGCTGACAATAGGTTGATGGATCTATTTCTGGGTCCTCAATTCTGTTCCACTGGTCGATGTGTCTGTTGTATCAACACCAGGCTGTTTTGACTGCTGTGGCTATATTATTAGGTTTTGAAATCTGGGAGTGTGAGACCTTCTACTTTGTTCTTCTTCTTCAGAACTTTGCTTACCTAAGGTCTCTTTCCTTTCCATATAAAATTAGTGATTGGTTTTTCCATGTTTTCAAAGAATGTTGATGGAATCTGGATCAGGACTGCACTGAATGTATAGATTGCTTTGGGTAGTATTGGCATTTTCACAATGTTCAGTCTTCCTAACCTAGAGAATGGTATGTTCTTCCATTTATGTAGCTCTCTTACAGTTTCTTGAAGTAGTGTTTTGTAGTTTTCCTTGTACAGGTTTTTTGTGTTCCTGGTAAGATTTATTCCCAAGTATTTTATCTTTTTGGTGGCCATTGTAAATGGTATTACTTTCCTCATTTTCATTTCAGAGACCTCTTTGCTGGTGTAGAGGAATCCAACTGATTTTTGTATGTTGATCTTGTATCCTGCCACTATGTTATATCTTTCAATAAGTTCCAGTGGTTTTCTTTCTGAGTCACTTGGGTTTCTATGTATAGGATCACATCATCTGCCAATGTTGTTGTTGTTGTTAAGTGCCGTTGAGTCGTTTCCGACTCATAGCGACCCCATGCACAGCAGAACGAAACACTGCCCGATCCCGTGCAAGCCCCACAATCCCTGCTATACTTGAGCCCATCATCGCAGCCACCATATCAATCCATCTCGTTGAAGGCCTCCCCCTCTTTTGT